AGGTTAAAAAACAAGTCAGTATCGATTGCGACAGTACAAAAAGGACCACGAAAGCAATGCCAAAGGAAACTGACAAGATGTGAGTATCCATGGTAACATCTCCATACCAGTTGACTATGACAAGAGATAAATATCAGCATAAAATATGAACTTGACATATTTAATAAAAGTTTTTATTTGCTGTTCTATTTTGTGTTTTGTTTGTTATTATTCTTTGTTGTTGTCTTGTTTTTATTGTTTCTAAAAAATATAATAACAGACAGTCAGACAGACAGACAGACAGACAGATAGACAGATTTTATTGACGCAAGCCACATGGCCCTCTGGCCATACATACAATACAATATAACATAATATTTATGCTGGATGGTGAGGATGACATTATCAATAAGTTAAAAGTTGTTTCTTACACGGAATGCCTCATACACATATACTCATGCCAATAATGTTGTCACCCCCCTCCCCACCCAAACCCCACACACACCTCATATCCCCACCCCTCTCCAATTAAAAAAATTGAAGGGGGTGACAACCATTATTGGCATGAGTATATCTACCTAGAGAGCGTTGAGTATTAATATTTCCTGAAGATAACTGTACACATTTATAAACTGAATAATGTTTAGAGTAATATTTTAATAACAACCTCCTGTCCCAGCGTGTTAAGAGTAAAGAAATCCTACCGCGTCAAACAGGGTGTGGATAGGGGCGTGGATGGGGTGACTGTTGGGTCGGGATATGGACCTGTGTAAATATTCACGATAAACACGTACATACACCAAAATTCAAACTTCATTATATTAGGGGCGTCTGAACGTACATGTGTATATATATTTGAAACATGTTTTAAATTAAGTCTTTTAGTGGCATTTAGAAGTTGTACGTAGATGTCTAAGATATTTTTATGGATGAAACTTCTTTTTTATTTCCCTCACAACGTTTCGGGATCATTCCAGCTCCCTTCATCAGTCCCGAAACGTTTTGAGGGAAATAAAATAGAAGTTTAATCCATATAAATATCTTGGACATGTTTTAAATTACTTTTGTTCTTAATTCGATTGTATTAGCTAAACGTCAGCCATCTGGTATATTGCCAAGACAAGCCTCCGTATTCTAAATGACTCAAGTTAATAATTAATTTCCACATTTTATTACAACAAAGTTTCTCACCTTGTTTTTAACCAGATCAGTCGCCAAGTACAACGCGTACACAGCAGAATTACATTGACGAAAGGACATTTACATAGGCCAGATGTGCAATTTAGCCAAACCGGTGTCTATTCACTATTGTAACTATTATTCTCATCTCTTATTGGCCATACGAACACCTTCCACGCGATATTTTAAATGTATAGCCATGTTTTCGAAAAGGCAGACTCCTAGATCGCCCGTTGACGTCATACCTATGATATATTTACCACATAAGGTGGTTGTCGATACTTATAGCGCTATGAGTGCGCGGGAAATTCCACTGTCTCGCCACACGGCGTGGGGAATTCAATGACGTATACCGCTGTACGCTGTCAATCAACTGCATTACGAAATAGCAATATCATATACCCACCGTGGTTGTCTCCCTTCTTCAGATTCGTAACACGTTCAATGGTTGTCTCTGCATGCATTATACAAGGTGTCTAATGGGTACTATATTTACTGAATGTTTGTGTGATTACATAAACAATATTCGTATTATTAACACCGTACGAGGGCGTAATAATATATGAACTATGTTACTGCTTATGGATAGGTTTGCTGGTTTCGACAAACTATGATATATCATATTTGGTTTCGACTATTTGTTGTTTAATGCCGCACTCAACAATATTCAAGTTGCGTAACAACAGTCTGTAATAGTCCAGTCTGGACCAGACAACCCGGTGATTGACATCATGAGCACCGACCTACACAACTGGGCTACGGTGACACAAAATCAAGTGATCGAACCTCACCACCTGATACCGTTATTAGCGACAGACCCTATATAGGTTTCTAGACTTACGTCTTGTCTCTGAAACTTCTGAGTGGCATTTTACATGTTGGGAAGTACAATATTGAACAAAGTTTATGGATATCAACTTCTTTATTTCGTGAGTGCGACATTTCGATACTGATTCTTGTACCGTCGTCAAGCGGGAATAGTCTCTTAAATGAACATATTTTACAGAAAAAACGGTTCCTAATTATAAACATATAATATAATGAAAAGTAGGCTTTCTTCACTTTCCTGTAACCTAAACGTGCCACATATTCAAAGCCTGCGTGGGCTGTGTTGGTATATTTGTTTCAGGGTCTGAATGGCAGCCGAAACATTCTCAGAATTAGTTTAATTTCGACATTTCATTGTAAATCGAAATGCAAGCTTCATTCAATGCACTTAGTGGGAATCTTTCAGTCTGATATTAAATGTAAACACGTATAGGATGAGATGTGGACGATAATGCAATGGCTACCATAACGACTTGTCAGAAATAGGGTTGATGTTCGCGACCTGATGTCGTAAGGTCGTCACGTGATATAGATCAGATGACACTAAACTGACAAACTCTGCGATTGTGCATTGCAACGTGTATGAATCAGATATCAACTGTTGATCCCGTTATCTGAAGAACCTTGACCGTCTGCATGGTGTATTGGACACTGCACCTGCCTGGTTACAGCAAGGTGTGTCACCCATTTTGTTCTGGGGAGCTAGGGGGGTCATCAATTTTGTACATAAAAATATGTTTAAAAAAAGGCTTATAAATTATGGAAAGGGGAGGGGGGTAATTGATTTTGTACATGACATGCAGGGGCGGTTTAACTTATTTTGTACATAAATTTTAGGGGGGGTCATCCACATTGTACATGCTTCTCCATAAAAATCATCATCACCCCCACTAGCCATAAATTATGAACGGTCCCTTAGGTTAAAAGATGCCACTTGATATTACCATGCCTGGCGGGCGGCATTTAAGGGATACGAAAATATGGACATACGTGTCTTTATGAGCGTGCTATGCTTCTATATACATGAGGTAAACTCCCATTTCACGCCAGCTCGCCTTCTTCTATGTGACTGTGTAAGGTGCCGCATATAGCAATCATCATCAGGCGGGAACATCACAAATGGGCTTCACAAAAGTGTACCCATGTGGGGAATCGAACCTAGGTCTTCGGCGTGACGATATTTTCTGGGACATTGTATCTGAAGCAATCGAGTCAAGCCCAATCATTCCAGACTTCTCCTCCACGTTTTCCACCAAAATTCCAACATAGTTACTTTATCGTATATATACTACGACAGTTATAGAAATTGTGCACCCCCTCTCCTCAAATAGCAGTGCCCGCAAGTGTTTAATATACGACCATCAATACATGTATAAGCTGATTACAATCAATTCAATGTGTCTATGTGTGTGTGTGTGCGCGTGCGTGTGTGGGTGGCGGGGTAGTCTGGTGGTTTAAGCGTTCACTCGTCACGCCGATGCCCCGGGTGCGATTCCCCACACGGGTACAATGTGTAAAGCCCATTTCAAGTCCCCCTCCGTGATATCACTGGAACATTGCTAAAAGCGGCGTAAAACCCAACTCACTCATTAATTTACTCACTCATTTTAATGTCATCTGGCACAACAGAGACTAGTCTAGTATAATGAATAGTCAACTTCCTCGATGTCTGGGGTTCAGAAAAATGCCAAATTATTACACGAAAGTTCTTGGTAAAAGTGCCACATGAAATAATGCCACATACAAGCATACGATCAGTATCGTACTAAAGGAGTGAGTTTAGTTTTACACCGCACTCAGCAATATTCCAGCTATATGACGGCGGTCTGTAAATAATCGAGTCTCGACCAGACAATCCAGTTATCAACAGCATGAGCATCGACCTACGCAACTGGGATAGATAACATGTGTCAACCAAGTCAGCGAGCCTGACCACCAGATCCCGTTAGTCGCCTCTTACAAGCATGGGTTATTGAAGACAATTCTAACCCGGATCTCCATGATGTTTCTAAAAGTCGAGGGCTCATAACAATAAATCCAGGTATGACTATTACCTTATATCACCCAAAATGGAAGTCATCTTTCAAAGCTTTGCCTACGTGTCATCAGCAGCTGGGATACTCACAAGCATTTCGACGATTTCTAATCTTGCTCAAAAGTCATCCTAAGTTTGACGCATCAGGTGTCAGAGAAACTTCATATGCCTTTGCATGTGTTTGTGACTGATGCCTCTGGTACTGCGGGCTACGCTCACCTTTTTTGTGAACATGATAACTGTTTACTTAGGATACAGTTAAAGTCGGCATCGCACAGTGGACCTTTGGAAGAGGTATGTTTATGATTATGGAATTTGTTTTATAATTATTATTATAAAAACAACAACAAGGGTTGTTTTCATCAATATCCTTGCTGTTTACAGCTGTCCAATTCAATGTAACATTCTTACGCTATAGCTGTCCGTATATTTTACAAGTGTTTCCCATCACACGCCGGTGCGAAATGCTCATTCCGACGAAAAATGATAATAGTTTTCTTATCTCAATTTTCCTTGCTGCTATGTAAATATATACGTGTGATACATTTATATTTTTAAAATGTTCCTGACTTGATCTCCACCATGGATTAATTCAAAGACTTTTTTCAAGTGATTCCAATTTCAAGTTTTCATAAAACATTAGTAAATATGTTTTTTCACCCGTCTGTCTACTGGATGAGGTTGGAGATGACTAAGATGAGCAACAACTATCAACTTGTACAGTTTTGCATTGTGAAATATCTCTGACTATATTCATCCCACAAAGGTTATACATTGCTACAAACCCTAAAATAGCCTAATGAAGCCCAAATTGACACAAATGTGAGTTTGTATGAAATGCCTTTTTCACTTCTTCACGACTAGCACAAGGGGGCTTACTCTAACTACCTCTACAAGCTCTTGCCCAGCGCGTGGGAACTTCGCTGAATGGGTTGTCGCTGTGCGGAGCTTCCTAAAAATAACTAAAGGGGAGGTAATAAAAATGGCGACCATGTAAACAAGTGCTTGACAACGATAAGGTTGAACAGCGTTTCGTGCAAAGCGGTCGTCAGAACGGCGTTATTATGGCCAAGGAAGTTCTTTCCAAAGTCTATATAGGAAAAGAAACTGAACAGCGATTAATCACCGCCTCAGCAAATGGAGATCTATCTACCGTAATCAAGCTCCTGAGAAAACACGTCAATCCAAATGTTTGTGACGAATACGGACATACGGCTTTATCTAGGGCGAGTGCAGGTAAAGATATTTTGCTAATGTCCTTAATGAGATTAGTTCAGTAAATGGTTGCATGTTTAATGGCAAGTTCGGTCTCCGGATATAACCTGAACAAATTAGTAAACAAATGCTTGCCTCTAGGCTCTACAGTGAGTATGTTAGATTTGAACTTGTAGGCAACGCGCCTGTCACACTATGCATGGAAATACCACTTGGTAACATCGTCCTGAATGTGTTTCAGGTTTTAAGATTGTCGTAAACAGGGTGGACTCCATTTCAAATATCAGAGAACATTTTACAGACGCTTCTGCTAACAACACGCATCTCTTTAGAAATTGGTTAAATTTTTAATCATTCTTCCCAGTAAACTACATATTTTAGTACTTCTGATGGTTGTGTCCCATACGGGATTCGAACACACATCTCCCTGGGTATTGTCTGCACGTGAAAGTCGATATATAGCTATAAATAGACGATTTGCCCTGGATCTGAATAATAGATATTAAAATTTACTTTAAAAGTGAGTGAGTATGGTTTTACGCCTTTTTTTTAGCAATATTCTAGCAATAACACGGCAGGGGACACCAGAAATGGGCTTCACACATTGTACCCATGTAGGGAATCGAACCCGGGTCTTCGGAGTGACGAGCCAACGCTTTAACCACTAGGCTACCCCACCGCCCCTGAGCGTTAAAAGAATTCTTTGTATAAAGTAGTTTTCACAAACGTTCACGTTTTTAGAATCACATACGTAAGTCGCAGGGAAAGGGAGAATTGCTTGTAAAGTTGCGAAGGTATATTCAGGGAACGCTGTATAGATAATACTCCGGCTTATTGAAGTCCGTTATATGCTGTTACTTCTGCATTATTAGATTGATCATTATTTGAGGTCGCTTCCTCCTAATTCACATCCATATTCCCTGTCACCTACAAAATACCGGATACCTACTGCAGCCGATATTGTTTAGTTTCACGTCACACTGACCCTAACCCTAGCCTAATCCTAATCCTAACCGCTAATCCTTACCCTAACCCTAGCCAAAAGTAAACTCGTGTGCGTTCAAAGATGGTGGAAGGTATCCGGTGTTTGTAAACGGTGTCTAGCATGCTTTAGGATACTGGTTGAAAATGAAACGTGGCGTGGAACTCACCAATTCTGTGTAATTTGTAAAGTTACCTTCATATTAAACCTGAGAATAGTTGATTGTTTCACATTTGTCGATGCAGAATTGCCCGTCATATTTGAACGCTATATCTAGAGACGGTTACCGTCGTTGGAGTGGTATTGGAGACGTCCCATAATTTGATCTCTTTGGGACCGGAACGTTGTCTCGCATGGCTGTCAAAAGGGAGGTAATTCGCTTATGCCAAGGGAGATTACTCTACATAGTACACTTGTGCCAGTTTACTCGAGAAGTAGTTCCGTGTCGTCCTCGTGAACAATCCAACATCTTTCATGGGATGTTGTTAGCATATAGCCTTGTTGTGTCGGTACGTGTTTCTTCATCCTAAAGTTAAATGTTATTTTCACAAATGTATAAGGGACCGTTCATAAATAAAGTAATTGACCCCCCTGCATGTCATGTACAAAATCAATGACTCCCCACCTTCCCATAATGCTTAAGGATAATTTTTCAATATGTTTAGGTACAAAATTGCTTATGTCCTTATTTATCCTAATTCCACTGTCTGATAAATGCGAGGTCACATCCATCTAATGGTAGAAAGACAACATACCAAAATACCAATCACAAATAGGTATAAAATGAAAAAGAACAGAAATACCAGTATCTCTTTTCAAATGTTCAGTATAACCATTTATTTGTCATTTACATTATCGTTTATCTGTCCGTAAACGAAAAGAAGAAATGACCACAACAGATTTTACTTCTTTTAATTTACGCATTTGTTTACAGAATGTATTTCGTGTTGGTGGTTGTTGTGTACGATAAAAGCTCAACATCGGCTGATAGTGACTGACTGACTGAGTTTAGTTTTACGCCGCTTTTAGCAATATTCCAGCAATATCACGGCGGGGGACACCAGAAATGGGCTTAACACATTGTGCCCATGTGGGGAATCGAACCCGGGTCTTCGGCGTGACGAGCCAACGCTTTAACCACTAGGCTACCCCACCGCCCCCGGCTGATAGTGAAAATAGTGTTACCTGAGATAAATTCACAAAGGCAAGTAAATTGTACAGTCCTTGCAGAATACGTTGATTCACTATGATATGTGTGCGTCTATGATATTGTTGTTCATTCTATAATTATATGTGTATGTTTGCATTTCCCAGGGGGCTATACGGAGATAGTGGCGCTACTAATTACTTCCGGTGCAAAGCTCGAGGCTGTAAATGCTTCAGGGGTAACCCCCCTTCATCTGGCTGTTAAAGGTAAACTTGTCGAACGTTCTTCATCACTCAGTGACAACTGGCTGTGAGCACATAGAAACTGAGTACATACAAGTACATTTTCCCGAATTTGAGAAAAACCTTATGAAGGAGAGGGGCATTGGCGTAACAGTCGTCTAAAGCGCTGTGCAGAGTTGTGTCCCTTGGGTACACCAGATACCGATGATTGCTGGCTGTAATCCTGGTTCACCCCTATTATAAACTGACATACAAAAGAATGTCCACACCTGGTGGTTTAGGAATAGTTTCCTAAGTTTGAGGCTAATTCATCTATTATTCAAATCACAAGCAAAATAACTTCAACGACTAAAATTAACCAGGTATTGATAAAACGTTTGGAACATTTAAATTTATATTTTTCGTTTGTGTTGCAGTTTTATCGTAATAGTAGCAGCAGTAGTAGTAAATATAAAAATAATGACTAAGGCGACGACAGCATTACAGCTACTACTACTTATAATAATATCACAATAATACTAATAATAGTAATGTGAAAAAATGTTCTATTGTTGATAAATTAGATCGTCTATGGTGTGGTAATCTGAATGCTTCTCTCGACAGGAAACCACCAAGAATCTGTCAAACATTTGATCCTAAATGGCGCCAAAGTCGACGCTAAAACAGCCTCTAAAGTCATCCCAATCGACTTCGCAACGCACGAAAGCGACGTGTGGAACATCGTCAACGATGCCAAACAAGGAGAGATGCCTGAACTAGACGAAGTCAATGACGTTCCCGACATCCCCGACTTCTCTATACCAGATGGGGAGAAGAAGAAGAAGAAGTCGGGGAAGAAGGGAAAGAAAGGGAAGAAAGGCAAGAAGGGGAAGAAAAGCGGCAAGAAAGGGAAGAAGAAAGGAAAGAAGAAGAAGAAATGATATTCCCGATGGGTTTTGTTTTGGTGCTGACATTCTGGAGAGACATAGGACGGTGACTGCCGTGGGATCAGGTGTTCAAGATAAAACAGTTTGCCAGCTTTCAGTCTAGGTCTTGGCTTACTACCTGTGTAGACCTGAGACATTTTCTCTGTCTAAAGAGAAGCAATCTTATATACCTTATGTAAATTGAATTAGCAAAAAGGTGTAACATTCAAACTCTCGGAAGGGCTTACTTGTCTGTCCATACGCAATTGTTTCCTTATAATGTATGTAGAAGGAACGTATTCATATTTGTTAATAAATATGTTAAACACTTTTTGTGTATTAGTTCATAAGGGTGGATATTCATTACGTGATGTGAAGGATTACTGTTGGTCTGTTAAGGAATCGGAGTTGGACATGCCCATGTGTAACTACAGCTGAACAGCAATGGTGGCTATGCCGTCCAGGACATCGCAATTCCACGTTTTAGTCAATCTTTCGTCTCTAACGACGTCATAACCGAAGTGTGAGAATATTGCGGACTGAAACAATAACGGTATCTGGACTGCAACAGGTCCCTGTTTCTGAAAGCGGAGTTAGATAGTCCCGACTATCGCTTTGTGACACCAGAGACCATATAATAATCTATGATATGGTCCTGGTGACATGGGCCCCACGTTATTTTGGTTGGGTCTAACTTGACGCGACGATAATCCAACCTTCTTCTCAATAACCGCACTGCTTGCAAAAACAATCGTGCCTCGTGTGCAATTTCCACTTGTAGTAAAGAAAAGCAGGTGGGAGTTACCTGCCCTTGGTTAAAGTTCAGGCGCTCAAGAAGAGGGCACCATTAATAAAATCTCAAAGCGGACTTAGATAGTCCCGACTATCGCTTTGCGACCAAGGTATTTTGGTTGATTCTAACATGACGCGATGACAATCCAACCTTCTTCTAAATAACCGCACTGTTTGCACAAACACGACAAGAATCAAATTTAAAATCAGTTTTAACTTGAAGTTGGGAAAGCATGTGGGAGTTACCTGCCCTTGGTTAAAGTTCAGGCGCATATAAAGAAGAAGGCACCAGATACAAAATCCTCTCCAGGTGAGCCTGATATGAGATACATTGTACAACTACTGCAGAAGTGTTTATAGCACTCGTAAAATCAGCATCTCTATGAACGTTTTTACAAAAGCCTCAACATGAACTTGTTCTCAGAATTCATACAATCGGGATGTAAATAGGCTGTGACAAAATACGTTTTGGTTGCGGATCCAATGGCATTTTTTAACAGAACGAGATAAAACATCAAATCCTTTCATTTTCAATAGTAATTATGTGACAGATTTACTAAACGTGATATGACAGATGGACTGTAGCAATATGACAGAACCGGGTCATCTTTAACTTCTTCTTAGAACTATATATACACGCACACGCACACACGCACTCACACTAACACACGCATTACGCGAGTGAATTAAATGCCACACTCATAAATATTCGAGTCTGGACCAGACAAACCAGTGATCGACATCATGAACCTTGGTCTAAACAATTGGGATACGATGACACGGGTCAGACGAACTAGCATGCTGGACCACCAGATCTGTTGCCTCCTCTTAAACCATAGTTCAAGCTGGTGAGCGTTGTTCTATACATTTCCCACAGTATTTTGTTTTTTAAAGAAAATCCCTATCGTGCTTGGCCATTGTTGCAGCGAGATCAGCTGTACCCGACTGTGATGGATACATGCAACCACACCGTGGCCTCTATCTGAAAAGTTGTATCTCAATATGTGATACTCAGTGCTATCATTCACGCTATTTCCCATACGACTAGTCACAGTGTACCTTCTACGACTGAAATTGCTGTTGAATAAATGAAACAAATATTGTCAAATAAGGTGGCGCCCGATCAGTATTATCTATAACTAAGTAATATATTGTAAAATCTGTAGTTAAAAGATAATTAATATATACAATGTATAACGGATCTCGTAAATATCAGGAGAATGGCGTCTCGCACCACTAATTCGAGATCACAAATCGCGTTTTGTATTTTGCAAATGTAATGCCACCATTTCGGCACTTTCGAACAGGGAACATATGGAATGTACCTTCCATTTAGCGGGGTTCACAAAAAGTATTGGAATGGGGTTCAGCCAATCAGAATCTGACAAATATGTGTAATCGGTATTTTAATGAACATGTCATGGAAAATCTTCTCCAAACGAGAATAGCTTGCATAATATATTACAAATTCTATCGGAATGCAAGGTATTTAATGAGATCGATTACTGCTCCAAGTCGTACGTTAAGTAACTTGTGTAGTTAGACCATGTAATTCCAGTTGATGAGATGATGTAAGTTGTAGGATGGCGAAATCTGCATTACAAAATCAGAGAAATTATTCAGACACTGAAACTCTAGAACGGGCGTGTGTTATTATGTGGCTGTGAAGGTCTACTCCCATTTGTGAGAACTCCCAGTTGTGAGACTCCCAGTTATGAGACAGTGGAGTAGGTAATTAACAACGAAAACACACCATACTCCCCCTGTCTGATAGAATGGAATTCACCCTAGCTAATTACTGATTTGCTATGTAACTGAATCTTGTGGAGGTAACTTAATGAAACTTTAAATAAATAAATTGATTAACATACTCAGGTAAATGTCTTTAATAATTCAACACTTTGTGTAGGTAACTTCGTGATCAAAGAGAAATTAATTTACCTACTCAGATTCACTCTGTCTCCGAAACTACAAGCTATAGTTTAAGAAATAACTCTGAAATAACTCTGAAATTTACAGTCGAAATGCCCCTTATGCCAAACCCTTTCTACCCGGCACAATAAATTTATGGAATGCCCTACCAAATTCCAAAGAGTCATACAGTCTCAAAGAATTTTAAAACCTAATTACAAAACCGAAAACAAGATGTATATTGATCTTAATTATGGCTCTTGTTTTTGTCAAATCGTTCATTGCTGCCTCAGGCTCCGATCTAGCGACCCAAACGCCGATATATTTTGCAATAGTCAATATCGATGACGTCACATCCTCCATTTCATTTTATATTTTATGTTGCATGGGGCGGTGTTAACATAAGCAGTAATACTTCACCAATCCCAATTCATTTTCATAAATAATAATAAAATATGTTTAAACCAAAATGACTTTCAAACTTCATAATAGTCAATAAAATGTGTTATCATAATTACATATTCTTCTGAATAAATAAAATATTCAATGAACTATTTCTTCTGTGTAAATATAATCTTTGATAATCTATTTCATTAATCAACTCATCAATGAACTATGCCTCCTGTGGGTACTGGGCTGGGCTGATCCCACTTTCATTGTAGGGATGTGGAAACACCACCTATGTGCACTGAACCATTAATTAATGTGTCTCACAACTGGGAGTTCTCACAAATGGGAGGACACCGGCTGTGAATCATAGTGGGCAGCAATAGGATATCGTCTTCTTGCTGTTGTATTTTCTTAAATAAAAGAGTGAGTTTGCGAATTGACTCACATCGGCAGTGTCTCTACCATAGTGTCATAATAAATATGTTTCTATGAAAACAGGGGCGGTGGGGTAGCCTAGTGGTAGCCCTAGTGGCCCATAGGTCCATAAATCCGGCGACAATGGGGACCGCCTGGTCTTGTGGTGAAAGCGTTTGATCGTCACGCCGAAGACCCGGGTTCGATTCCCCATATGGGTACAATGTTAAAAGCCGGTATCTGGTTGTCCCCGTCGTGATATTGCTGGACTATTAAGATCGGCGTAAAACGTACTCACTCACTGCTATGGAAACAAACGTGTCTGAGTCGCCTAAGTATACTTCACTACCAATAATGGTTGTCACCCCTTCCCTACCCCAATAAACACACAGCTTCACTCTGGGCTAGTACCCCACACCCCTCTCAATTAAAAAGTATGCACGTCGTCAAGGAGCGACAATATTCTCAAGCATGAATATATATTGTCACTGTTTTTGCTTTCCTCTATCACAATATAGAGTGTTGGTTTGTTAGCTGGTTAAAGCCGCTCTTGGCAATATTTCAGCTAAAAGAGGGCATTCTGTAAATGATTGAATCTGGGCCATTAACACTAAGATGACAAATATTTCTTTCCCTTTGCATACAACAGTCTGAACCAGACAATCCAGTGATCAACATCATGAGCATCGATGTACGCAATATTCGATACGATGACATGTGTCAACCAAGTCAGCCAGCCTGACCACCCGATCCCGTTAGTCGCCTCTTACGACAAGCATGGGTCGCTGAAGACCAATGCTAACCCGGATCTTCACGGGTATGTATTGAAAAGAGCCTTGGGGAGTCAGCTCGATTAGCAGAAGAACTACTGTACAACATCAGTCACTAAACAACTGGTACGCCATAGAGTAATTTACATAATTAGTTTACAATAGAATATGAACAATCAAGATTTACAGAATGTGTAATTCATGTATTCATTTGTGATATTCACAATTTCCAACATATTTAGAATATGAAAATATTTGTAAAACGTTGTCCAATTTCTCCATGTAAGTACTTCCAATACAGACGTACTAAATAAACACCTGGTGTTTTGGGAATTTTCAGAGAGGAAAAAAACATACAAAAAAGACCCCAAACAACGTATATATTTTGAAAAAGGTTCGCATGTGATTGTAGATGTAGTGTTTTGGCAACACGCACACTGTGTGTGTCGCAGTCAAAACACTATATAAATATTTTAGCTGGTTTATGTTTTTTTATAATCCCCCAAACCATGTAAGTACGTCAGTTTATGTAAATCAGCAATATATACACAACAGAATGCATATATACACACTATTAATGCTTGTTTTTTTAATGATTTTGTTTGTAATTTAGAATATGAAATGAAACTAATTAGCCTCAAATTCATCGATGAGGGTTGGAACCAGAATATCTTACATCGACCGAATTGAGGGGTACAGTCCGTTTGAGTCAGAAACGGACCGATGAATTGCAAATTTTATCATTGTACAAAATTACCACATAAATATAAATAGTACACATGTTTATCATGTACTAATACCCAACAGCTTTCTTATATTTGAAAATTTTCCGGACTCCACCAAAAAAGTTCTTTAAGAAACTATCATTAAAATTTTGACACAGTTCACTATTTGATACGAGGGAGGAGTGCAGAGAAAGGGACAGCCAGGTGTTAGAGAAGCACGTGCACAAGTGCCCACCAAGTTATTGATTCATTAGCCTGTGCTGTGCCGTCTCCATCCTTTCTCGTACACCTGGCTGTCCCTTTCTCTGCACTCCTCGTAACAAATAGTG